TATATATATATGTGCATCTTGCTGTCTGCAAATGTTAGTCGTTATTGCTTACAATCAAGAAAACACTTGTTATGTCAGGACAATTGCAATATCAGTTCTGTAAACTGGGATGGGTTTTATAGAAATATATTTGTATGTATATTTTATAACCACTGCTTTAGAGGAAGCATTTTTTCCTTTGTTCTTTTGTAGTAATATGTTATATATACATGCTCTTGTTGCCCTAGTGGTGAAGGCTGTTTTGGGAGTCTGTGGTGTTTTGGGAGTCTGTGGTGTTTTGGGAAGTCTGTGGTGTTTTTTCAAGTCTGTGATGTTTTGGGAAGTCTGTGGTGTTTTTTCAAGTCTGGGATGTTTTGGGAAGTCTGGGATGTTTTTTCAAGTCTGTGATGTTTTTGGAAGTCTGTGATGTTTTGGAAAGTCTGGGATGTTTTGCGAAGTCTGTGATATTTTTTGAAGTCTGTGATATTTTTTCTGCTTATTTTATCTAGAAAGCAGTTTTTTTGTTATTGTAATTATGAAATTGTTATTTTTTCTAGGTAGGCCGTCTTGCTGTTGTAATGTGAACGTGAAGTTCCATGTACACGTGATATATATATGTACAATAAACACACGCCATATGTTTTGACAATCTGTGATAATGTTTTAGGGGTGAAATTCCCCACACTTAAAAAACCTAGAATTCTTGCCATGTCATAAAAGAGAACAGTTCAAATCCTAATTGTTTTGTTTGTTACTGATGTTGCTGTGCTTCTAAATACAATACAACACATGTGCTCTGTTAGATGTGTACATGGGGGATACAATACAACACATGTGCTCTGTTAGATGTGTACATGCGGGATACGTTTTACCAAATCTCAAGTGTAGCTGGGTTTTTTAAAATGAAATAAATTCCTTTTAACAGAAGCTGTCTCCTTGACTTTGATCGAAATTATGTGTGTGTCAAGTTAGAAATGTGGTCAGTTAGAAATGTGGTCAGTGGTAGTTTGCTGTTTCACTGTGTGTCAAGTTAGGAATGTGGTCAATTAGGAATGTGGTCAGTGGTAGTTTGCTGCTTTGCTGGATGCAGTGTCTTAATTCTAACACACTTTATGTTGGAGTCTGTCTGTCTGTCTGTCTGTCTGTCTGTCTGTCTGTCTGTCTGTTTGGCACACTATGTTATACTAATGATATTGACTTTACAGGAATATTTAATGAGATAACCATGCAGCCTCATGCAATATGCATAGGTTTAGTGTCAACTTGGATGAAGAGGAGGGGGAGGAGAATGAGATGAGGCAAAGGGGAGAGGGGATGGGAGAGGGAATGGGAGAGGGGATGGGAGAGGGGATTGTTTTGTTTGTTTTAGTATAGGGTTTTACGGCGCTCGCAACTGCATAAGGTCATATGAGCGCGCGGGAAACACCTAATACTTTTTCGTTGGTAGGAAATTTTGAATTTTGCCCGGGTGGCGGC